AAAGGAGTGCAAAAGAGTTAATAGTAGAAAATATACTCAAAGCCTTGGAAGTCACATTCATAAACTGAAATCCATATTTCAGTAATGTGAGACCACTCAAATGTTGAATGTTACACTTACAATTATTAAAGGTATGCTATAATCATATTTAAATTTTACAACAATAACTCTTACCATAGTGCAGATAATTATTTTCTAGGAAGAACAATTTGGCTAGGGGTCCAAAGAACATTTGCTGACGACCTGAACTGTGGGAAAGTTATTGGAATGGAAAGAAAAAGGTGTTTATACTTATCATTTGCTGCATGTCATTTATTATCTGAATTTACACATTTGAGGAGAATATCTATTATGTTCCAGAGATAGTAAACATTCTTAACAGCCTTAAACAATAGAAAAGTGTTTCATGTTCTTTTTCTTACCTAAAAATGCTGTTGGAATTCAGGGGTTCAGGGGAGCCCTCAATTCCCCTGAGAAGACGTTTCTCCAGGTTCTTGCTCTTGATTCTTTGAGTCTTGCCGGACTCAAAGCGTTTGTACAAAGTCATTTATTTAGGCAGAGAAAAGAAAAAGGAAAAGAAGAGAGAAAACTTCCACTAAGAGTGTGTGGAAGGGGGACCGCAGAGGGGATATCCAGGAGGGGAAAGAGAGCTCCATGTGGGAGGGATTCCAGAGAGTTGGAAATCCGGCATGGGTGAAGGAGCAGGGGAAATTATCCTGGGAGAAATTCCCACCTTCCCAAATTCCTCTGGCCAATGAAAGGAGTTCCTTTAAACTTCTGCTGGGGTGATTGACTCTTAGTTTATTCCCATGCCCACAAAATTTAAACATAAATTCTTAAGTCTCCTGGATGGAGAGAGATGGGAGCAGGGCATGGTCCTGGGAAGTTCTTGCCCTTAAAACTACGCCCCCTTGTGGACCCTGAAAAAGAGAACACATTCCCTCAATACAACTATTTCCAATAATGTAAATAGTACTTGTTTTGCTATCAAGACATCCTCTATAGGATCCCCATATTTAAATATTTTCTTTAAGAATATTAGAACATAGACAAGATTAAGTCCTTTTTTGGTACAGGAAACATGTCAGCCAAGAATGATATACAAGCATTGGCTATAAAAGGGCTACTACCATCTAGGAATTATAGATAAAATTATTCGGACAAAGATTAGAAAGATAAATTTAGGTCACCTTGCAGATAATCTTTGTACCAGTCGGAGAATTTTCACTTAATTTTGTAAAAAAATTAGTAACCAGTCAATTTTTTTTAGAAGAGCCTATAGCATGCTTAGTGTAGAAGTGACGTTTTATCTTACTTTAAATATTAGAAGTAGACTAGTTCTGTCTAAAAGTATTTTGTGTTGTTTCAATCCAATGATAACTGAAAGAAATAGATGAAATATTCATAAATGTGAAAGAAGTCAATGTATATCAAACATCCTTTAAAATGATCAATTCTTCTGTTAATGTAAACAAAGGAAAGAGAGATCCGGCAGGAGCCATGAATTTTGTGCCACAGTCTTTTTACACGTTCAGCAACTGTCCTAGACAATGGTAGATGAGAGTGTTAAGGGTGTTTTTTAAAATAAATAGTGTGTAAACTTTGAAAAAAGACAGGTTGTTGAAACATGGTGATCTAACAATGGTTTATGAAACACATTTGGAAGTAAGAGTTTTTGCTGAATTTGCTTGTTATTTCATAGAAAGAGAAACTGGAATAATAAGGATCTTTGGGGCAATCAACGTCACATATATCATGACTCACCTGAAAATTTCTATGGGTCTGTGTCAAAGTCTAAGGACCCCAGATGTAAAATACTTAAAGAAAAACATATTCTGAGAGCCATCAATGTTATATGGGATGTCAGCTACAGAAGAAAAAAAAAAAGCAATTGATTAAGACGCGTTCTAGGAATGCCTAAAAACTGGAATAAACTAAATAATTCCTCTCCTAATTTACTTCAAACGAAGACGAATAAAATAATACAAGTTATGCTTACGAGAACGAGGTCTAGAAATTAAGTGTACATTGGATCTTTTTGGAGTTTCATAAATGTGCATACTGTATAACGTATTTTCATTTTGACTATGATCGAGGAGTCATTTCAATGACTGACATCTGTAAAACTACTTCAGTTATGATAAATTTGATTTAACTTGAATGAAACATGAAATGAAATCACTGTTTACTAATCATGCTTTCAGCTTAATTGATATGTCTGTTACCTTATGAGTCAATCATTCTAATTTGTTGAGTTTTTCCATCATGAAATGGTCTTTATGCCTGCTGCAGTAAAGCAGCAACATAAACAACATTATATTTGTTTTATAAATCTAGGATTGAACAGTAAACATTGGATTATATGATTGAGCAAAAAATATTGCATCCTCAGATTACAGATACTATTTTATACATTTAAAAGTATGCCATTCTTCAGTATACTTTTCCTGGGTTTTAATTATAAAAACTAATTTTTAACAGTATAAAGTGTGAGGCTTAATGAGTGTAAATTCTGTAATTATGTGACACGTGATGAAAACTTGATATATAAAAACTTTTTAAAGCAAGAAAAAGCTGTGTACCAGCAAAGAAGAAAAGAATCACAACAATGCAGCAGACACGTTTGACTTGAGAATTTTTTAAAGATTTTGCTGAATCCATGATATTTGAGTATCCCCGTAGAATATGTTGGATGCTTGTTCTCTAAAACCAGTGTTCTTTTAAAAACAGCAACAAAACCTATCAAAATATTGTGAGGTCAGCTGGACCAACTTCATTACTCCCTTGGATATTAATAAAAGCACAAATGTAGTATTGCTGTTTTTGTTATTTCCAGTCAGAGCGAAAATAGCCAAAGGGGAGAGAAAAATTTACAAGAGGCACCAAAGTTAAAACATAAACCAATTCCAAATTTGTGATGACATGGTAGTGAAACCTGTCACCTGGATCCCAGAAGAGATGCCCATGCAGTCACTTACAGATCCAAACACCTACACATGCAGCTCATTCAGTAAATGGGAGAAAAAAGGAAGGGGGGGTTGTTTTCTCAGGATTCATTTGGCACTGTTTCTTAAATGTTTTGTGCATAGTATTACCCGAAAAACTTGTTGAATGTTCTATGCCCCTATAAATTATACTACACATAGAATTAATGTTGCCCAAGATACTCATTTTTAACAAGATCCCTAGATGATTCTGGTGTGATACTAGATCAGAGTCCAGACACTCCTAAAAACTATACTAATAATCAGAACTGCAACATTCCTGGAATCCACAGGCTGTTTCCCACTCTTCTCCTTATAAACTGGGTCTTCTCTCACATTTATCTTAATGTTTACAGGGAAAAAATAATAATAGCTGGAATGTATTAAATTGTCTGTATGCCTGACACTGTTCCAGGAACTTTATGTGCATTTTCTCTTTTAATTCCTATAGCCATTTTAGTATGCAGGTCTTCCCGTTACCATATCTACTTCGTAAATAAGTAGAAGGTAAGGCAGCTGAAATAGTTCCTAGGGCTCACACGCCAGTAAGTGGTAGAGCAGAAATTCTGGTGCAGTTGACCTGGAACACGTGCTTTAGTCATGATGCTTCTTGCATAGAAGTAAAGTCGAAAAGGAGAGAAGAGCAGGTGGCTGGTAATTTTCTTTTTCTATCTTAGGTCAGTTCTCTGCCTCTGCATTTTCTAGATTAACTTTTCTTTTGTCTTCCTGTTAGCTTTAGCCCAAGGAGATTACAGGGGAGGAGGAGAAAAATGCAGAGAGCATCCCTACACATTTAGAGAGCTTCTTTAAAAGAACTGTGTCATCTCTATGGTCCAGCTCCAATCTGGCACCCCTACAACGGATCAAGCATCTAATTGGTGGCACCAACTTCTGGCCTCTGATAACATCACTTTGTCATTTTATTCTTCCTGTCTTAGATTGCCACTTCCTACACTTACTAATATTATATTTCCTCCATTTTCCCAGTTTGAACTTTCAGTTTTTCTATCTGTAATTTGTTCCCTGTATTTTCTCTATAAAACTATCTGGTATAAACTTTGTTCTCCTAATTTTGAAAAAGAGGAACTCTAGAAGGAAGTATGGTATAGCAGAAGTAAAGGTAAAATAAAACTTTAAAGAATGCTGATCCAGAAGCAAACATTCTTTTATTTTTGTATTGCATTTACTCCAACCATTGTCTATCTTTTCTTGCAAACCAGCAGTCAAGCCTCTATGTACTACATACATCAACAGGCAGTCTTGATATCTGAACTGACCAGTGGGGTGGGGAGTGGGATCCTGTTGGAGGCTAGAAGCTAGGAGGAAAGGGCGATAAGTGTATTTTTGTCCTGGCTTAATCCCATTGCTTGGCTTAGGATAGTAGCACCCTTTACCTAAACACTCAGCCTCTATAATGTAGACCTCTCCAGAAAGCTGCACATTCTTGGTACCAGTAATTCTTCTTCTTGTCTGGCAGATCCAGGCCCCCTTTTGTGGTGGAAACCAATGCTTCACTCAAATCGCCCTTCATCAAGGAATGTGTTACACACTTCCACCTCCTCTGGGGCAGCAAAACTCAAGCAACTCTAATTTTAGCTCCTGAGTTCCTCACCTGGTTAGCTGCGGTTGCCTTGAGCTCACATGGTGCTGGGATGTTAGTTCTAGCCCATGCTGCTTCCCTTTTATTTATTTTCTTTTCACAGGTGTTGGTCCTGGATCTGACAGCACTCCTTTATTATTTATAAATAATAATTTATAAATTATGCTAAACACAGTCTCAGAATCTACTTCTTTAAAAAAAATTCCACCTGCAAAACCCAGAAGACTGCACTTTTCTTTTCTTTTTTTTTTTGAGACGGAATATGGCTCTGTCACCCAGAGTGGAGTGCAGTGCTGCCATCTCAGCTTACTGCAATCTTCGCCTCCTGGGTTCAAGCAGGAGCCTCAACCTCCCCCAGTAGCTGAAATTACCCACCACCATGCCTGGCTAATTTTTTTTTTTTTTTGTATTTTTAGTAGAGACAAGATTTCATCATCTTGGCCAGGCTGGTCCTGAATTCCTGACATCATGGTTTACCCACCTTGCCTCCCAAAGTGCTGGGATTACAGGTATGAGCCACTGCACCCAACCAAGACTGAACTTTCTACTTGGTCTCCATAAACAATAATCAGACCTCTGTAAATAGACTCACTTACCCAGTTTGAATACGCCATCTGTTGCCACTAGGAGATGGACTGACACAACCTTGTCAGACATTCTATTTCCTCTGAGTATGAGGAAAGCTACTAGAGATTTCTGGATAGAGGGGTGATATGATGAGATTTAAATCAGATAGACTATGGCTGTATGAAGGCAATGCTATAGGAGGACAAGGGCAGAAGGAGTGATGCAGGTGAGAAAGTTGTTACAGTCATCCAGATATGCAAGACGGCAGCTTAGGCCAGGGTTGTAGTGGTAGTGAAAATCACTTTGATTTGGAACACATTCTAAAGTTGGCCTACAATATTTACTAAGATGTAAAGTGAAAGAAAGAGACTAGCCCACTATAATTCCACATTTTTTTTGCATCATCAATTAGAATATTTGAGTTACATTTCCTAAGATGGATATGTTTGAAAAAAATTGCAATATAAAACATGAAAATAAAAAGTTATATTTTGAATGCTAGTTCTTGAGTGCTTTTGTATACCTGACCAAAAAACTCAACTCAACAATTCATAGAGCAGTCTGTATATGAGGGATAATATCAGGGCTAGACAGTATAGTAGAAAGTCGTAAGTACAGGACAACACTTAAAACAGTATAAAGTACAAGCCAGTGAAGCCAGGAAAGAGAAGTGCTTCAAAGGTTGAACCTTGGATACTAAACAAGTTAGGGAGATTAAAAGAGAACAGCAAAGAAGACAGAAAAGCAGCAACTAATGATATAGGAAATGAACGAAGGAAGATGCACAGTGTTTGAAGAATGAGTAAGTGAGCAACCTTATCAATTTCTGTTGACAGAAGTAATAAAGGCTAAGAAGGAGTCATGTGGTATACCAATGTGAAGTGCACTGTTGATTTGACAAGCAGTATTTTGCTGTAATGGCAGAGACAAAAGCTTAATTGTAGGTTGTTTGAAAAATGCATGAAGTAAAATAAACAGATTATAACACCATAATCAAGTGTGATTTGTCCTAAGGAGCAAGGATGGTGCAAAAGACAATCAATAATTGTGCTACATCACATTAATGAAATGAAGGATAAAAACTACATATTCATCCATAAATATAGAAAAAGCATTCAACAGAATTTCATGCCTTTTCATGATAAAAATGCTTGACAAATTGGGTATACAAGAAGTATACCTCAACATAATTAAGGCCATATATAAAAGTCCACAGCTAACATTATACTCAATTGTGGAAAAAAAAAAAGCTGTTCCTATAAAATCAGCAACAACATGAAAATGCTCAGTCTTACTACTTCCATTCAACTCGCTTCTATAAATCTTAGCTACAGCAATTAGGCAATAAAAGGAAATAAAAGGCACTCATATTGGAAAAGAAGATGTAAAAGTGTCTCTGTTTGCAGATGACATGATCTTATACATAGAAAATGCTAAAAACTAAAAAGTAAATTAAAAAACAAAGCATTGAAACTAAAAAAATAAATTGAACAAAATCAACATCCAAAAACTCAATATATTTCTGTGTATTAACAACAAATTCAAAATAAATTTAAGAAAACAATCTCATTACACTATTTTCACCAAATAAAATACACAGGAATAAACTTAATAAAGAAACCTGTACACTAAAATCCATTAAACAGTGATGAAAGAAAATTAAACATAAATGAAAAAAAATCCCATGTTCATTGATTGGAAGAATTAATATTATTAAAATATCTCTACTACTTAAGCAGTCTACAGATTTAATACAGTCCTATCAAATTCCAATGTCATTTTTCACAGAAATAGGAAAAACCAATTTTAAAATTCATATGGAACCACAAAAGACTCCAAATAAAAAAAGTAGTCTTGGGAAAGAAGGAAAAGCTGGAGGCATTGTACTTACTGATTTTAAAAGATATTACAAAGCTACATTAATTTAAACAGTATGATAGTGATATAAAGACATAAATATAAATGAGTGTAGCAAAATAGAGACCCTCAAAATAAATGCACATATATTCACTTTTATTTGATCAACAATGGTGCCAAAAATATACATGGACAAATTAAGAGTCTTTTTAGCAAATGTTACTAGGGAAACTGAATTTCCACATGAGAAAGAATGAAATCGGACCCCTATCTTACCTGATACACAAAAGTCAACTCAAAATGTATTAAAGACAAATGTAAGATCTGCAAATGTAAAACTTCTCAAAGAAAACACAAGGGAAAAACTTCTTGACATTGATCTTGGCAATTATTTCTTCAATTTGACACCAATAACACAGACAACAAAACCCTCGAAAATAAATGACTACTTCATATTGAAATGCTTCTGTACAACAAATAAAACCATCAAGAGTGAAAAAGACATCATATGAAATGGGAGAAACCATTTGCAAACCATCTATTACATGGTATGGTTAATAGCCACACGATATGAGCAGAATATAAGGACCTCTTACAACTTAATAGCAAATAAGAAGGAGGAGGAGGAGGAAGAAGAAGAAGGAGAGGGAGAAGGAAAAAGAAGGAGAAAGAGAAAGAAGAAGAAGGGGAAGAGGAGGAAGAAAAAAGAAAAGAAAACCTGATTTAAAAATGAGCAAAGGGCTTAAAGAGACATTTTTCCAAAGAAAAGATACAAATGTCCAACAGCTATATGAAAAGATGTTCAACACCACTAATCAGAGGAATGCAAATATAAACCACAATGAGGTACCACCTCACATCTGTTACCATGACTACTATTAAAAAAAAAAGATAACAAGTATCAGTGAGGATGTGGAGAATTGAGAAACTTTATACACGATTGTTCGGAATGGATAGTGGTAAAGCCACTATGGAACACAGTGTACAGTTTCCTCAAAAATGCAATAATAATAATATATACTATTATTATTTAATGATGAGTCTGATGACTTAAAAATACACATAGGAAAACCAGAACTGCAGCACAAACTTGTTATCCCTATTCTAATTTTAGCTCTTCTCCTTCTCTAGTGCCCAGTGTTTGTTGACTGTGGTAAGAGATGTGTAACAGGTAAATGCATGTATAAATAGTCAATGCAAAAAATTCAAAATCATTCCATTACTTTTCTGTTTTATGCATGAACTACCTGTATACAGAGCATATTTTTAAGACATTAGCTTCCTTTCACTTATTTTTCATTATCCAAATTGTTATACAAGATATGAATACTTTTTGTAACATCATTTATTTGCTAGATATCTAAATAACTCCATAGACAAGTCCTGTATATTTTTCCCAACCATTAAATTTTAAGTCGTTGTGTTATAATTAGATTTCTGTGTGTGGTTCTAAGAAATTAATATGCTTATAATAAAATGAGATTCCATTTCAGTACGGCAGAGGATTACAGAGCATAATGATGATTAAAAATACTTTGAAAAATTCTTACTTAGAGACAAAGCTTTAAGAAATCGTATATTGTTATAAAAATATTAAATCATTCACATATCGTATCAATTTCATAATAGCAAAGTGTTTGTAATTTACAGTATACATTATTGCTTAGTATCCTTTTCAAGCTGTCTCAAAAAATGGCATATAATACTAAGTGTACATTTATAATATTTGATAGCATAGAAATCAGGAAATTTATTGTTATAGCTTCCTTTTACAATAAAAGCACTTCATTCTCCATATTACCACATAATATTTAAATTCTTTTCTCAAAAACACTTAACAATATCTGATGGTCATAAATGAACTGTGGTCAAGTAATAAAATATATATTTAATGCATATATAAAAATTATTTATCAACATTATTTTGAATTTCTACTTATAAATGGAAACAGAATTTATCTATTTTAAACCTCTAAGATTTCAAAGAATTCACTCACTCTAGTGTTCATTTAGTATTATAATTTGTCATTGATTCAAATTTAATCTTATGATTACATTTTTTCTATTAAGGATGAATTTTCTATTACTCTCTACTGATTTTTAAATGATGAGGATTATTACAAGTTTTCCAATACATATCATAGATTATTTTGAAAATGGCTGAAAATATTCTCCTGTTTTAATCACCCTTTGCAATGTGACTTTGAAGTTCTACTCATCAAGCAGTAGTTGATGGTTTCTGTACTTTGGTTCAGTTCTCTGCTCCATACGGGAATATCATAACATCGGCAAATGCTAATTACAATTAGAAGAAACAAGCTCTGAACAGAAGATCGTTCCCAAGTCAAACAACTTTTGATCCAATATAATTTCAAGATACATATGTACTGAATGAGAATATTCTGAAAAAATATCAAAAAGTGCTTACTCTTTCATCTTGATTACTAAAATGGGTACTATGAAACCCATGACTATAGAAATGTTATAGCCCATTCCTCAACTTCCATTTAATAACTGATAACCCTGGAAAGCAAGTCATTATTCAGCATTGAGAAATTTGACATGAACTGTGATTAATGTGACTCTGATCAAACACTGTGCAATGCCAAGATTTCAATTTGAATTTTTAAATTAACTTCTTTCTCATCCTGCTAAAATCAAACATCCACTGATTAAATGAAAATAAATGATAAAGCAAAAGGGTAAATTTTGAATCCGATATATTTTTATCATTGACGTTCAACTTATTTATATATATATATATTCTCTTTGACCCAAAGACAGGCAAATGAAGAATTAAAAATAAAATTAAAAAATAAAATTGAAGAAAGCATAGCATGACTCCTCAGGACAAACTTTTTAAAGGAAACAGTTCCAAATCATCATAAAAATGTTCTTAAGAAAAGTCAAATACATAGGTTCTACTATTCTTCTATTACAAAGACCAAATACAAATTTAGAATTAGAGACTTAATTCTCTGCTGAAAATAAGGGAAAATAGGGAAAAGATTTTTCTTTTTCCCTTTTTCTTTGATCATTTACTTGAAAAATTTATAAGTGCATACTTTCTTTTTTTTGAAATGTATATAAATCTTTTTGAAGACTAGATTGGCCTTTTGTCAACTTTATGACACAAAAGTGTCTTTCTCAAAGACCTGAAGCATCTCTCTGACATGCAAACATCAAGAGAGACAGCACCCATAGCTCCCATTTTCTTGGGAGGCTAGGAGCCTAATGTCAGTGGATGTCATGCGTTTAGTTGTAAAATTACCTTCTGCCATGAAAACCTGATAAGTCTGTTTTTCCTCCAGATAAGGCCAATAAGGTAACACAGATGGTCACCTCAATTGCCGGGTAAAGTTAGTATGAACTACATGTGATAAATTGTACTATAAAGTCCTCTTGTTTAAAGACTATTTTTTATCTTGAAAACATCTATGTAAGGGGTTATATCTGCTTGGCTATGTACAGGAGTGAGATTTACAATCTTTTAGCAGATTGCCTGTGATGATCATTATTACTCTCATTTAATAAAGCTGTGTACTGCTCAACGATGGAGACACATCTGAGAATGTGTCCTTAGGCAATTTTGTATTTGTACAAACATCGTAGAGTGTACTTACACAAACTTAGAGGTGTAGCCTACTATACACCCAAACCATCAGGGGTATAATGCAAACCTGTACAGTGTGCTACTATAGACCACTATAACACAATGCTAAGTATTTGTGTATTTAAACATATCTAAATGTAGAAAATATACAGTAAACATAAAGTGTTATGGTCTACAGCACCACTGTCATATATGCAGCTCATCATTCACTGAACTGTCATTATGCAGTTCATGACTGTACTTATCCAATGATAAAGATCTTATCTTTCTCCACTATTATTGTGGAGATTTCTGGATTGAAAAATTTTTGTTTTTAATTATAATTACTCAACATTATCTTGCATTAAATTAAAAACTTTAGCAACATTGCAAACCACTTAATGAATCAAGGTAGGAAAGAGGTGGAATCCAGAGATTATAGACAGGTGCTATGGTCTCAATGTTTGTACCCTACAAAATATTCATATGTTGAAATTCTAACCCTCAATGTTATAGCATAAGAAGGAGAGCATTTGGGGTAGTGATTAGGAATCTTCTCCCATGAAGAGACTTAGTGCCCTTATGAAAGAGATCCCAAAGAGCTAGCTAGCACATTCCACCATGGGAAGACAGAGCAAGAAAGTGCCATCTTTGAGAAAGAAAGTCCTTACCAGACATCAAATCTGCCAGAGCCTTGATCTTGGAATTCTCAACTCTCAGAACTATGAGAAATAAATTTCTGTAGTTTATAAGCCACCCATTCTGTGGGATTTTATTATAGCAGCCCAAATGGGTAAACTAAGGCAACAAAGATTTAAAAAAAAAAAAAAGCCTCATAGAAACTATACTTGGGATACTTGAAAAAGAAATTATCTGTAGAAGAAACACCAGCAGAATAAAAATAAACATGCTTAACATATAGAGGACTTTAATAAATACTTAAATTATAATGCAAATGTTAAGACATTTTACAGCATCATAATTATAATATTACACTTTTTACCATACATGGCCTTAACAATTGTAGGAGAGAAAAATCTCCAAAATGTAATTTACCAAAAATAGTTTTACAAGTTGAAAATTCATTGCTTTATTTATTTCCCTCTCTTTATTTAAATTTCCACCCCCTAAAAGTAAATATCATTTTATAAATATGCAATAAGCATATTGTGGGAGTTGCAAGAACCAGTAGGCTTTCTTCCTATACTAAAATTCATTTAGAATATTTTATTGTAGATTTTTGTAGGTTTGTCAAAACACTCTTCATTTGTCTTACTGTATGAGTTTGAGTGCTCATTATAGGCAGGTGATTGCAGAGTATAACAGGTAAATACATGTGTACCTAAGTTCAGTCTAGAAAAACAAACCTTAGTGATTACTAATTCTGTGTGTTTTCATACTCTAGGTCCTTTTACAACTGAATAGCTGAGACAGCTGCATTTTTTCTTGAATTAATCATCTTTTTACCCCAACAAATATTCAAGATATTTCTTTCTTATAGTTGCCATGAAGAAGCTGATTATATTGTATGTCATATAAAAGCACATAATTTTCTCATAATTTTTAGAATTTCCAAATTCCTAATTTAAATGATGCTGATGTTAACTGGTGGTTCACACTCTGAAGCATGCAAAAAAAGGTAACCTCAAGCTACAGACTCTTCTCTTTGCCTTCTTTGAATCTTTGAGAGTACCAAGAGTTTAGTTTGCTAACTACCCTATAAAATGAAACCTACTCGGGACGCTGAGGCGGGTGGATCACGAGGTCAAGGGATCGAGACCATCCTAGTCAACATGGTGAAACCCCGTCTCTACTAAAAATACAAAAAAAAAAAAAAAATTAGCTGGGCATGGTGGCATGTGCCTGTAATCCCAGCTACTCAGGAGGGTGAGGCAGGAGAATTGCCTGAACCCAGGAGGCAGAGGTTGCGGTGAGCCGAGATCACACCATTGCACTCCAGCCTGGGTAACAAGAGGAAAACTCTGTCTCAAAAAAAAAAAAAAAAAAGAAAAAGAAAAAGAAGCCTACAAGTTTGCAGCCTGTGATCAGTAGGCAGAGTAGGCTATACCAGATAGTCTGGGTTTATAGTAGGCCACACCTCTAGGTTCCTGTAAGGCCAGCCACAGTGGCTCAGACCTGTAATCCCAGGACTTTGGGAGGCCAAGGTGGGTGTTTTATCTGATATCAGGAGTACAAGTCCAGCCTGGCCAATGTGGTTAAACCTTTTCTCTACAAAAAATACAAAAAATTATCTAGGCCTGGTGCTAGGCGCCTGTAATCCCAGCTATTCAGGAGGCTGAGGCAGGAAAATCGCTTGAACCCAGGAGGCGGCGAAGTTTGGTGAGCTAAGATTGCAACATTGCACTCCAGCTTTGGCAGCAAGAGCGAAAGTCCATACCCTAAAACAATAAAAAAGGAAACAATTGTCCTGAGCTGTTAAAAATCTTTGTCATTGTTATTAGATCGGAAATAAGCTAAGCAATACATTTGTCCTTGATTCTGTCTAGGGCTACTGCAAATTACAAAGATATAAGGATTAGTTTTTCATATCGGTTAGAAAAATAAAAGGTCATATTTACACAAATCAATAAAAAGTAATTTTTCACTGAAAACAATCAACGGTCATGATAGTCATTATAATCCGAAACAAACCAGCTACAGATATTAGTGAAGAAACTGAAGCACTGTGTGGCAAAATGCAGAAGGCAGGAATTAATTCAGTGCTGTCTTTTTATTTGGTTGCATCTATTTAAAGTTTGCTTCTATACCCTCAACCTTGTACCATCAATCAAGTGCATAATATTTACATAGAATGCCCCAGTCAATGTATTCATCCTTACTTCAAGATAACATCTGAGTTTTTTTTTCAAATCTTTAACTTAGAAATCATAATAGAATGTTCTGTGTTCCTTAAACTATGTGGTCTATTAGTTTTAAAAAGATAAACTAATTTTAAGTAATTTACTATGTAATGAAAATTACAACCACAAGGGTGCAGCAAAATATTTGTGGCAAACATCTAAACATGATGGAAATATAAAATATTTAATATCCATATACATTTTATGGTGGTGCATAATAATATTAATTCTATTAACAACACATATTAAGACCAGAGATTACTATTTAAAGATAATACCAGAGACTAGTATTGAAAAAATTGGACTAAACATTCCCTACATACCCTTGTCTACCTATTTTGTCAACCGCCTCTCCATGAGCAGTAGCTATAATTATGGAAGATAATCAGGAATCAGGGGAGCATTGTGTTCATCCAACAATAAGACTAGACTTTCTGGATTTTAATTCTGGAAAACCAAGATCTAAATCTCCAACCAATGGTGTGTGTGTGTGTGTGTGTGTGTGCATGCACGTGCATGTGTGTGAGATATGCAGTTCAAAACATGACTATTTTAACCATTCACCTCTAGAATTCCAAGTTCCTTATAATGAGTCCTGTTTTCTCAATTTTTCTCATTTCAGATACCGTCTCTATTAGCTCAGAACAAGAATATTGATTGCATTTGGTGAACTAAGGTATAAAGGATTGAAATTTAACCTTTCAGTGAAAGTTTTTAGAAGACTGAAATGGATTTTAAAAATTACAGCTTGCAGTCATACCAATTAAGTCGAAACAATGGGCCAGATGTGGTGGCTCACACCTTTAATCCCAGTACTTTGGGAGGTCAAGGTGGGTGGATCACCTAAGATCAGCAGTTTGAGACCAGCCTGGCCATCACCGTGAAACCCTGTCTCTACTAAAAATACAAAAATTAGCTAGGCATAGTGGCAAGCACCTATAATCCCAGCTACTTGGGAGGCTGAAGCAGGAGAATCACTTGAACCTGGGAGGTGGAGGTTGCAGTGAGCTGAGATTGTGCCACTGCACTCCAGCCTGGACAACAAGAGTGAAACTCCACCTCAAAAAAAGAAAAATAATAATAATAATCAAAATAATGAAACTATTAAACTCTGCATTTACAAAGAAAATGGAGTTAAAAGGTATCGAATGTATATGTTTACACAGAGACAGACATATAATGTGCCTACACACACACACACACACACACACACACACACAGAAAGAGAGAGAGAAGATGCAAAATTGCTTGTATGATCCAGAAAACGCCATTTATTAAGCTGCAGAAAACTGTATCTTAAACTATTTGCTAGGGACATATACCACAACAAACAGACAAATAGCGTCTAAAGAGCATTAATAAATATTTTCCATTTAAACATGTAAGAGGGTTTGGGAGGTATAATCAGCAGGGTAAATCCACGAGGAATACTATATTTGGGCTGAAATGTGATGTGACTTTGAAGCAATATTATTTTTTCTCTATAGATTATTAAGTAGTTTTGAAAAGCATAAGAATGAATTTTTTCCCCCAAACTAAATAAATATTTCAGTTACTATAAAATGACTGTTTATACTTGGCTGAATGCAGTGGTTCATGCCTGTAATACCAACAATTTGGGAGGCCGAGGAGAGTGGATCACGAGGTCAGGAGTTCAAGACCAACCTGACCAATATGGTGAACCCCCATCTCTACTAAAAATACAAAAATTAGCCAGGCGTGGTGGCGCACGCCTGTAGTCCCAGCTACTCGGGAGGCTGAGGCAGGAGAATCACTTGAACTTGCATGGTGGAGGTTGCAGTGAGCAGATATCGCACCACTGTACTCCAGCCTGGGCAACAGAGTGAGACTCCGTCTCAAAACAAAAATTATTTACAGTTGACTTTGTCACTCCTTTATTGTGTTAAAATTTAAAAACTTATTTTATATTCTTGAATCATATTTCCTTCATAGTAAATACACTGAATATTGGTGTTTTAGAATAATAATGCCTCGTGGTAATATTGTTTCAAGGAAAAGAAGAAAAAGCAAGGGAGGATGGGAGGGAGGAAAGAAGGGAAGGGAGGAAAGGAAGAAACCAAAGTAGTGGAAGGAAGGAAAGAAATGAAAAAGCAATAGAAAAGGAGGAAAAGGAGCCATGTTATCTAAAGGTGCAAAATCTGAGTACTTAGAAAAAAACATATTCGGCCGGGCACGGTGGCTCAAGCCTGTAATCCCAGCACTTTGGGAGGCCGAGGCGGGTGGATCATGAGGTCAAGAGATCGAGACCATCCTGGTCAACATAGGGAAACCCCGTCTCTACTAAAAATACAAAACATTAGCTGGGCATGGTGGTGCGTGCCTGTAATCCCAGCTACTCAGGAGGCTGAGGCAGGAGAATTCCCTGAACCCAGGAGGCGGAGGTTGCGGTGAGCCGAGATCGTGCCATTGTACTCCAGCCTGGGTAACGAGCGAAACTCAGTCTCCAAAAAAAAGAAAAAAAGAAAAAAAACATATTTGGTAACTTACTTTCTGAAATAGTACCAGCACATTTATTGCTTAATAATTTAAAAATATGTATCTATTCATATAAGTACATAAACTGATTAGATAAAAAAAAACTTTCACTTTTCTGAGATCCAGGTTGATTATTGTTTGATATTGCCACAAAAAAAAATGTCTTTTTAAAGCAATAAATCTCTCTGCAAATAGATTAAATGAGAAGAATTTTGAAATCAAATTGTTTTCCAGGCTGCGTATAACATTTGATGCATGATTTATTTTTTTCATAAGTAGACGTCTCTATGTACAAATAAGTGTAACAGAAAAATGTCAGTGTAGACATTGATATATTTGGTACAAATGGAGCTCTCTACCTGCCTTTTCCAGCACAAACTATTGGCAGGTAATTTTAACAGTTCTTGTTTTTATGTAATTGCACAGTATATTTAAGCTTTATCTTATACTGTTGCTATCATGTGTCTGTAGAAAAAATCTGAAATGATTGGAATCTTTCCTTTTTGCTCTGCTTTTCTCTTTCATTGTATTTACTGACTCGGTTTTTCTTTTCCTGTGATTTATTTGTAGTTACAGCAGACTTGAATGCCTCTCATCTTGCCAGAAATGGGACTTTCCATCATGTTCCCTCTGTATTTAGAGAATTCCACTAGGTCTCAATAAAGCAGAGAATTGATTTTTAAGATCTTGATGTTAACTCTCCAGATTTACACAACATCAATCTATCGTTCTTCTTTGCCTTATTTATTTTTTCATTTTTTTTTTCTTGCCAAAGTGACTTCATGACTTACCCTCCAAAGAGCCCCTACCTGCGTTAAGCTATATTTTCTGTTGTGTTACAAGATGCTAGGGCAAAAGCATTAGTAGCATTATTTCTTCTTTTTACTTAATTGCATTTTAAACGTAATACCAAACACGGTCCATTCTGTTTACCCCCATTTGGATACATCCTGTCCCCTTTGGAAGCTGCGAGTGTCAGAAAGGGCAATCAATGAGGCAAGAAGCCATAATAGCCAAGAGAAAAGCTGGTTTCAAAGTCACTATACTCACAGAATGTCCCGAATTTCATCCCAATTCTGTAATTTTTTCTATAATGTGGTGCCTAGTATGTAGAATATGTGAAGGGATATAGACGAATAATTAATGTAGCATATTTGTAACAGCTGACCAGTTTTGTAAGAGATAAAATTATGCAGGAATTAAAAGAACTCAGTATTCTAAGTTGTATTTATTAACTCCAGAAAAGCCACTCTCCACTGCAAAAGCAATTTCATCTTTGTAACCCCACTCTCCATTTGAACTTTTGAGTTCTTTCTCAGGACCCTTTCACAGAGGAACTTAGCTCTAAATCCTATTTAATATTTACTTCTCTTTAAATATGACATTTCTAGTTATAGCTTAACTATAGAAGGAAATCTATCATCAGTAATCAGGAAAAGATTGTCTTTGCTTCTTTGCCTCATCCACCAAATATTCTGAGTTTATCCCATTTTTCTGATGTTAAAAAATTAAATGTTACCCTTAGACCTTCTTCATTATTTAATGGCCAGGAGTCTTTCAGTATAGCACATATAAATATTTATTTGTTTAAGTATATTTCCGCACTTTTCCTACTTAAAACAATAATTGTATTATTCTGCATTAAATTTGCTGCCTAGTGCATGGAGCGACATTAACAACTGAACTGCCAGATCAGGCTAATATGAATCAAATCTCTTGCTTAATATCAAGCTTTACTATAATTTGAAGGGTGCCATCAGTCAATAGGCTCAGATGAAGCAGAGCGGGCCTAGAACAACAAGGGCAGCTCCCCAGGTCCTGTTTTCCCACAACAGAAATGTGTCCTTCGCTCCAGAATAACAGATGAGGTCTCCAAGGCAGCTAATAGCAGGAAGAGTATGTGAGTTTTCAAATATTTCAGCTTTGTACCACAAAGAGCTGTACAGCTTGCATTAACTACTCCAGGGAGCCATGCTTCGTAAATGCACACTCTTTACCATAGTGAATCCTTAACCAAGGACAGTCTGCAAATGGCAGATCCAAGATAAAGCTGCTTCTTCCTAGCAAATATCACCTGCCTTTTAACCTAGAAATCCAGATGACACAGTTATAAGTCCTGGTAAACTGCCTTCTTTTATTCCTTTGGGAGGTGACCCAAGTTAAAAAAAAAAAAATGAGAGTTTATCAGATGAGCTTCTGTATGTATCTATGTACCTCCTCCTTTTCCGAGCTATAATTTTGATATAAACAGATTTTCCACAATTTGTGAAACCCTATGATATCCAGAGCAAACATCAAGTTGGAACTGTAACTTGTCTTTCCTCACGTAGATCTACTCCCTGCATCTCTTTAGTTGCATTTCCTGTCATATTCCTCCCCACACTATGCCCTGCTGCATACCTGAGCCAATGCTCCTCGGCTGATTTCTGGTTTCTCCACACACAACGATGTCACCTGCCTCCTTGCCTTTGCCCTTGCTCCTTTCTCTAATAGAACCACCCTCAATCTGTCTTCCCCGACACACTGATGCCAGTTTCTCCGTACAGATTCAGTATAGGCATCACCTACTATCTCACCCCAGTATGAGACATGATGACCTCTTCTTTGCACCCTGCATCCTATACCTATCTTTCTTTTTTTAATGTTATAAACCTTATTGACTTGGACTTTAGCTCCACCCCTATTTTTCCCATAGAATTCAATTTGGGGACACCATATTTACATCTCCTACATATTTCTTTCCATAAGTTTTAGTTTATCAAATTATAAATACTGATACAATCTTCATCCAATACATTTTTTATATGATGAGATAAATTGCAACAATCGGGATTTATACATACTGTGTGTTGTTTATTAACCCAAGAGTGCTGATGATACTGTGAGATTTAGTATAGCTTTTATCTTTTCAAATCTGTCAAGTTCAGAATATAGTTCAATCACTTTTAAAATGCATTTTAAATGTTTTAAACAATTTCTCCTTTATTTTAGATTCAGGGGATATATTGTGTAATGCTGAAGTTTGCAGTACAAATGATCATGTCACCAGGTATAAAGCATAGTACCCAACATTAGTTTTCAACACTTCCCCCCTCCTCACCTCTACAGTCCCCAGTATTTATTGTTGCCACTTTTATGACCATGAGTACCCAGTGTTTAGTTCCCACTTATAAGTCAGAAACACGTAGTTTTTGGTTTTCTGTTTCTGCATTAATTTGCTCAGAACAGTGGTTTCCAGCTGCATGCATGTTACTGCAAAGGATGTGATTTCATTCTGTTTTATGCCTATGCCCATTTTAATCTTCATACTGTATTAACAATTTCTTATGATATATTTCCTGATAGGTAGAGATCTGGTTTTATTGCCACATTTCTAAAATTGAATCTATATTCCAGAATAAATATTCAAATTCCCTAAATTATGAGCATTTTAAAGTTACTAAATACCCGTTTAAAGAACTAAGCTTATCTTAAGACAATCTCATTTCTTCAATTAAAAAATAAAAACTGTGCAAGTGGCTGTAGATACGGCAGTAGGTAAGAGGGCCAGAACCCTGCTCTCACTTGATAGCATATGGTAGCACTGCTCAGGAAGTTCTCTGCTGGCCTCCTATGTCAGGATTTCTTGAACGGACAGAAAACTAAAATGCAGATGTCTAGGCCAAGTGCATGAATAGATTCCAGGCATTTGCATTTTTCTAAGAATTTCCCAAGTTTC